AAGACCGCAGAGCAGACATTTTAGGAAACAAATAATAAAAGTGGTCGGTCAAGGAAAAGAACCAAGAAATCTTTAAAGCCCTTTAAGCCTCCTCACTGGCCAGCACATGAAGCCAGATGTAGCCCCTACTTACTGGACAGTCACCATCTGGGTAGTTATCAGGGATGTGAACTGTGAACTTAAATACACCATCTTGATAAAGTCCATGCCGTATGAATATGACTCCAAACCACACTGTAGGGAAAAGTAAACACAGTTAAGGCCTAAGTTCATGCCAGAGGCACCAGATATGTTGTAAATATGTTAGAGAAGGAGTCCTTACTTAATGCAGAGTGGTAAGAGGGCTGCACGTAGACACCTGGTAACTTCTGCTTCACAAGCAAGGTACTGAAACAAGCAGAATAATGCCACTGAATGGAGGTCAATGATGCACAGATCACCCCATCCCACATTCATATTCTGAGGTGAAAGAGTCCGTTATGGGGCAGCTGATGCCCTAACCCAACAAGCGGAGTCATCACAATCCCTTTCCTGGCCCTGACTGCTGCCCCTTTACTGGCTTTACCATAAAGGGCCCCAGATTAAGAGATTCAAGCCAAACAGTGAAAACAAAGTTTTCCTCCCAGAAATCCACTTCCCCCAAACATCATCTCGGAAACTAAACTGGAGGTCATTCTGAACAATTCAGCCTGATTTCAGTTCTAGACATTAAATTTGAGGTCAAATGAGGGTATTGGTAAAGTCACTGCTTTTGTGAGTGGAGAGCAGAGCTCACCCACACACATTCAAAAGCCATTTTTAAATACAACTTTAGGTAATTAATAATAAAATTCCATGCATTGCCCTCTTAGGTTTCAATTTCAGTTTGACCACCAGTCCATGTGGCAGGAGGCCATGTTTAAGGTCTTTGCAGTGTTCCGTTCCTGAATTTACCCTGCAGTGCAGCACCTGTACTCTGGTCCCCAGTGTGGGAAACCATGGGTGCTGAGACAGGGCAGCCAAGTGCAGGACACAGGCTGCATTGACTCTTTAGGGACCTTGTCACCCACCCACAGCCATGCTGCGCTGCTCCTTGCAGCTGAGCTGTGAACCCAAATAAGCCAGGCTGTGACAGACCTTGAAAAGAACAATGTTGACCTAGGACCTTCAAACACATTAATCTACCAGTCCTGAATTTTAATTGTGAAGTAACTTAGTGGGCCTTAGTTGATAGTTTTTATTACATATTTGCCAACACACTTTTAATCATTCCGTTTAAGTCACTAACATTCAGCACATCAACAGCAGCGTGGTTGGCAGATGTAGCTACCACAGTACACTTTGCCAGAAAGGCAGTGTTGTGTTCTGATCAGACAGAAGACTCACTGCCCAGCCTCAAACACAAGGCCTCCCTTATACAGCCCAGGGGACCGCTGCTGCCATATCACACTCAGCCCTTTAGACTGTAGCCCCAGACCCTCTGATTGTTACTGCATTGGTGCAGGGACAGACCGCTCAATGGTGCCTTTAAAATAACTGCAGTTACAAGGGAATTTTATGTTTTTCCAGTTGTCCACTGAGTTATAACTCAGAGTGTGTCTCTACACACTGGGCCTAATGGCTTATGGCTTTTGTTGTAATATTGCACTTCTTCCAGACATCACCACACAGTACACGCCTTTGACACAGGCTAGGCTACAGATAGCTCGATTAGTATCACGTGCTGTGTACAAAGCACACAATTATTTTTAAGTAATTGAAATTAAGAATTCTCCACACTTTCTGCCCTTGTAGCAGATCATTAAATCAAAGGTCACCTGCCCTGAGTCACTATGGGGGCCCATAATGGGCTGGGTGCTGTGTCATCACCAGCAGCATTCTGCAGAATGCTCACCACCTCACTCCACAGGCGCCATGCAACTGCAGTCGTTTGGGACTAGTCACCTTCTTCTCACACGGAGCCCACATCTTCACAACGTCCCTGTAACTGCCTGAATCAGCCTCGGGCGGGGGTGTGTCACAGAATCGATCAAACCCCCTTCCGAGCGACAGGCCTTCAAATGTATGCCGCACTTCCTAAGTGTTCCCCAGGTCCAGTTCCAGCTCCTTCAGTTAGACTCCTACAGCCTGGCTCTCTGACCTGTAAGAATGCCTCACAGAAGGCAATCCTCAGAATGCAGCACAGAGCCTCCAGCTGGGCCTGACCCGGGGAAGAACAGAGTGCTACCCTCCCACTGTCCCATCCTGTACCACCTCTTCAGGACGTAAATTCCTCCTGTCATATGAAGGAAGACCAAAATTAAGTTCCTGACCTACAGGTGCTTAATAAATCTTACTCTCTCCCTCCTCTTGCTCTCCAAAACAGACATGGAAATTAAAGCACACGTTTGCCTTTAAATCTTACTTTCCCAAGCTCTGAATAAGAATCATTACATTTACAAGAGGATATTTATGTAACATTCCTTTGGCCTTGGTTAAGGAAGATTATATTGCCAGCAAATAGCCTCCATATTTCTATAAACAGCAAGGCTGATATTGGAGGGATATGACTTTAAGCCTTAAGATAAAATGGCTGCCATTTGCTGAGTCCAGTCCATCAGAATAAATTTCATTCCTTACCTTCAAGAGTCATTCAAAATGTAACCAAATAGTTTAAGAACTTACAATTCTGCAAGAAGAGAGTACTCCAGGTAGAAGGGTCCGTAAGAAGCATGCGTGCCATTTGTTGACTGTGCTGCTGGGGCAGGAGATGTAGGCTTAGTTATAGGCAGAGCATTTTTGGGAATAGAAGGCAGCTGTTTCTTTGGAGCAGTGCGGGGAGGACTGGTTTTCCCGTCCCCTGTTATTGTCTTCTCTTCACCATCAGATCGCTATTCAAGATGAAGTGGTGAGAACATTTGTTAGGATGATTCCTTGACCTCAGTCTGGAATCACTCTTTTACAAGGATAGTCTAGCACCATGATCAAGATGACCTGAAAGGCCTTTGTGCAGGGGCCATTAGAAAGAGCAGAGCAATGAAGCAAGACTAAGGCACTAGAAAACTCGTTAGCTGTATCCTATAGAGACAAAAAGCCAATGTTCACAAGATTTAAGTGAAACAAAGAAATGGTTTCTCCTGGGGGCCCCCAAAAGAGGGCAAGGGGTTACTAAACAATTAGACAACTGTACAAGATGAAAAGTTCCTGAGCAGTTCAATGTGGTAGAAGGTCTGGTGCTAAGTGGCTCAAAATCAAGAGAGATGAATGAAATTAGTCCCTATCTGACATTAGCATTGGGTTAGAAACAAGGAAAGAAGCTATTCTCTCACTTGTAATGGCTCTGATTTTGACCCTGCCCCTCAAAGATATGTTTCCACATTTGGATTCTCCCAGCATAAACTGTCATCCACAGTAGAGACAAAGGTCTAGGTGAGTCAAGACAACTACCATCTTGGTTGTTTAATTAGCTATATTAAAAAGTATGTCATGTGCATAGGAAAAAGATTAATAGTGGTGCTCTCAGAGGTAAAATTATGGGTTATATTTATTTTCTCTTTGCATATGTTCAGCTTTCCTAAACTGTGTTATTTCTGCAACTAAAAAAGGACATTTTTAGAAAAATTAAACCAGTGCCCTCAAGTCTGACTTGAGCACATTGGACTGGCCTTTCCCAACCATAGAATCTTGCAGTTTAGTAGAAAACTACTACAGAAATTTGTAGCAAATTTCATCACATGTAAGTATCACCTGTCAAGTCTTAGAATCGTGATTTCCAGAATGATTTCTATTTGAGGTGCAATCTCAGTCTCAGAAACTAACTTTAATCAACAACAAAAAACATGCCCTGACCCAGCCAGTATCACTCAGTGGTTGAGAGTCAACCCATGAACCAGGGGGTCATGGTTCAATTCCTGGTCAGGCCACATGCCTGGGTTGTGGGCTCGATCCCCCAGCAGGGGGCGTGCAGGAGGCTGCCGATCCATGATTCTCTCTTATCGTTGATGTTTCACCTCTCTCTCTCCCCTTACCTTCCTCTCTCTGAAATCAGTAAAAATATATATTTAAAATAATGATAATTATTATTTCTCAAAAGTAAAACCTGAACTAGAAAAACCAGATAATCTTGTTAAGATTACAGGGCAACCTCAGTATGAATTATTTTGGCCTCTATTCTTATGCAAATGTTTCCTCACTAAATTTATCAACTATACCTACCTTGCGTCCAGAGCTTGCAGACATGCTCCAGAAAGGGTTCATAACGTGTAATCCACACAAAGAAATTCAGTGGTCTGCGTCATCAAACTTCCGTCCCCAAAATTCACTTTACCTTAAAATGAGATGGGAAAACAAAAACATACCAACACCAAAAGTTAAAACTTCTGAAATAATTAAGAACCAAATTTGATACTCAATAAAAATGTGATATAACATTCCATAATACAGAGTTATAAAAACCTAGTGGAAAAAACGTTTTCAGAAATAGTTTCCTTCAATACACCGCCCCCCGTCTTTTGACTCCAATTTCTTTCCCACCTTTAAATGCCTACAAGAATCTGAGTGCCCAGTGCTTGGCCAGGATTCAGAATATTCAGTGACACAGCTCAGCTTTGGTGCCAGAAATGCAGAAGATACGGACTATAACAGTTGCTACTAGCATAATATGTAGGCATTTGACTGTGGGAACACTAGGTTCAGAATGCACTGTACCCACATAACACAAAAAAGTCTAGACTATTCTCAGGGTTATGAGGAATTAAAGATCCAAAAGGGCCAATTTAAGTGTGTCTTAAGTACAAAATTATTCTCTCCAGTGAAACTAGTAGCTAAAGAAATAAGAAAAAAGCAGAGGGGAGGGAAAGCATGTAAGACAGAGAGAGCTAACTGGGTCCTGTCTGGAAGATCCTTCAACTACCTGAAGTATGGAAACTGCAGGATTAGGCATTCAAGGATTTGCCAGCCAATACATAGAAATGCAAGAGAGGAGTGCAAAGATTTCACAAACACAAACCTTCCACCAAAGCTTTAAGCAGTGGATAAGAAAGAGTATCTCTGAGGTCACAAGGTCAGTGGGTCATTTCCTAAAAATGCAAAGTGAGAGGCAAAGGAAAACCAGCAAGCCGAGCTGTAAGAACAGCAGCCTCTCTGCTCTGGCAATGTCCCCCAGGAAGAGCAGAGCTCCTTCTCTGAATTCATATTTGCACCAATCAGAAGGCTGAAGGTGAAAAGGGTGAAAACTTAGCAACATGTTACTAAATTCTTAAGAAGCAAATCATTAGAGAATCATGTACCAAATGTCCCTAATCAGCAAAAAATGTTTTTTGCAAGCCTATGACACCCACAGAGGGTACCAGATCTCCCATACTCCAACAGTGCCAATTATTGCTGTTTTGCTTTCCAAGATATAATGCCACCCGGTAATTAAGTCAAAGGAATGAGGATCCTGGTTCTTCCACAAACCTGTTGACTTATATCCAATAAACAGCAACTTAGTGCTGAGAGCTCTCTGCAAATCTGCCTTTAAAGATTATTATACACATGAAAATGGTTGGGACATCAAAAATGTAGGGGGCAGGGGTCATGTACCTGTTTGGCCCAAATGAAAACAACATTGGTTTTCAGATCCAGAGGAATGTGCAGCATCCTACTGTCCTTTAGGACAGACATGATTTAGCAGAGGACCATCCCCTTGGGACACAGTGATCACCACCATGTAAATTTACTGGGGTGGATCAGTCACCTGGAAGGTCTCCTCCAAGTCTCACACAGAATGAGGCTGTGACTTTGCCTTTAAGAATCAAGTAAAACTTGCCCCCAGTTCCTCCTGTTTCAGCAGGAGCTGCATTGTCTACTGCCCATGTTTCCAGCAGCATCACCTAGAGAAACTGTAGCACACTTTTCGGGAATAACTACACCATTTATTGGCTGGCTGGTCTACTCAGACGCACTATAGCACTTTCCAGCAGGAATGACAAACCCAGAAGATACACCCTAGTCATTAGGAAACAATTTTAGAATTTCTGCTGGTTAGGCCATACAAACAAAATATGCCTGCCTGCCTTTATATCATACAGCGAAGAAGTCAGGATCCTGGACCCGCACGAAATATGCATACATAGCGTGCGCCCAAACTCAGGAACATGTGCTGCTTTCTTTCCTCCTACAAGCACTACCTTAATACACCACCCCGAACAGCCTTAAATTCCATATTAAGAGGCGACGGAACGGCCCAGAGAAAAGACGGAAACAACCTGGGTTCAGCCGGCTCCCTGGGGACAACCAGGACGGGCACGGGCACCTAGGCACGGGGCGGAAACCATCTCCCCACACGCAGAGAATCTGGACAAACCTGTCTCGCCGTGATGCAACGCAGGGGCCACGTCCCGGCCTCCCAACTACCTGGAAATGCCCAGCCCGCGAGCCCCTCCAGCGGGGGGCTGAGGGTCTGCGAGGCTCCGGGACGCTCCACCCCCCACCCTAGCGAGGGCGCAAGGACGGCGGGCGTGGGAACAGGGCCGGGAAGGGCGGGACCTGGATGGGGCAAGCCGGGCGGCCCGCCGCCTAGTCTCAGGCCAGCCCGGCCCAGCTCCCCAGCTCCCAGACAGAACCCAGCGCAGGCCAGAGCTGCCCCCCGGCTGCCGGAGCGGCAGGTGCCTGCAAACGCGGACAGGTGCCCAGCCCTGCCCCCATGCCCAGCCCCGCTGCCGTCGCTCGTGCTCGCGGTGTCGAGCGCGTCCAGCAGGGCAGAAAAATGCCGGCCCGAGGACGCCGGCGGCGGAGTCTAAGGACTCCACGGCCCTCGCATACCTACCAGTCGGCCTGGCAGCGCGCCTCACCTCAGAGCCTTCAGCGCAGCGCTCCCGCTGCCCCGGTGGCGACCCCACAGCATCTCCGGCGGCGCCAGCCCCGGCCCTGCCCCTGCTTGCTCCGTTCTCCGCCCCGCCCTACTCTCCGCATCAGGCTCCGCCCCCTGCCCCACGCCCCTGGTCCCCCCCAAAGCTTCCGCCCAGCCTCTTGCCAGCGAGTGGCTCCCACAACTGTCTGTCAAGAGCCTTCTTCCGGAAGCGTTGGGCCGACCACACTCCGTCCTGCCAATCAAATCTACTCCTCTGGGTGAGGCACCACTTGACCCTCCCCTTACATAACAGCACCTTGAGTGAATTGTCATGTTCCGGAAGTGTCAGCCAAGGAGATGGGCACGCGCCTGTACATAATTGGCCCCGGCGTCAGCCAGTCACCATAGAGACCTGCCCTCTTGTTTGTGCGTAGCCCCTGCAGCCATTCAGAAAGGCTGTGCCTGCGGTTCCAGCCTGGACCAGGGCGGGGCCTGGTACGGGATGGAGTCTCCACGAGAGGCGTGGGGGTGGTCGGCCGCGTGCCCGCGTGCCCACCCCGGAGTCCGCCTGGGACTCCCAAGGCCCCGGCAGGGCAGCCAGGCCCTGACTGTCCTGTTGGCCGGGAAGGCGAGCGTGTCGTGCCGGGAGGGCCTGGCGGAACGCTTTACGCAGCGCTGGGGACGTCCGCGTCAGAGCGGAGCGCAAGTGGACAGCGCCGGGAGCCGGACCGCCGCCAGCCGGAGGAGCTTTGAGAAACGCCTGTGTGGACCCTGAGAAAGAAGATACCTGCTCAGAAGGGCTCCTGGTGGCTAACTCGACTCAAGTTTAAAAGCAGAACTCAGCAGCCATTACTAAACAGGGCCCTCCCAGCAAACCGCCGCGGGGAGAAGCCCGCGCTGGACGGTGCCCTCCGCCCCCGCCGCCTGGGCCGGCGCACAGAGCAACCCCCGGATCCCATCGCAGCCGGAAGGTCGGGTATTTTCCCCGCCCAATCAGAGCTGCCCAGCTATATCCGCCTCAGCGTCTTCACTAATCAAAGCCACTCATTCTGACCAATCAGGACAGTGCTTTCTGGACCAATCAAACTACAGGGATTTGGAGTCTTCATTTGCATGAGGGGAGACCAATCAGGGACCAGGGGCGGGAACTTCTATCTATATAAGTGGTTGGTGTGACCACTTTCCTTCCCAACTGAAGCCAGAAGACTGAACTTAATGAGAGCAGATTAGGGTCCCCGGGTCCCCTGGGGCGCCTCTGCCCGGGGTTGCCTCACAGTCCTGCTGAATATCACAATGGAGCTGTTTGTTTCACCACCACATCCCAAATTGGGGATTCCTGTTGGCGTTCAACTGGCACCTATGACCATAGGTTGACTAACATAAAGGACCCAAAATTTGGACTGAAGGGGCTGGGGCAGCGATTACCAGGAATTTACATTTGTCACAAGTTCCTCTGGTGATTCTGGCGCATACTGAAGTTTGAGAGTCTCTCCCATGGTCCTCTGATTCATTTTTATTTATTTTTGCCTACAAGCCTTCACTTTGATCTGGAACACTTTACCAACTCTAGCACTGCTCAGAAGCTTTCCACTGAACAGAAAGCCATTTGAGACTGAATAAAGTCTGAACTGAGCCAGGTTTACAAGGCACACCCTATGTTGGCCTCATTCCCACATTCCCGTCTCATTTCCCACGCCTGTTCACTCCTCCGAGTCTTTTCTCACAAGGTGCCTTCTCTTAGGAAACTCGTCCAATCTCCATCTAACTCAATATGTTGCATTCAGAAGAGGAGGAATATTCTCTAACTAGGTTTTTGTTCAATTTTTGGTGGCCTTTGAAATGCTAGTAAAATGGCCTTGTTAAATGGCAGGCAGCCAAACTCTCCCTAGTGCTAATCCCAAGGGTAGGTTCTGAAGTCCAATTCCCCCTGCTCCCCCTCAGCTGAAAACACTCCTAAGCCACTTCCTTTTGTCCAGTTTTAATACACTTAGGAATGTTGTAATGCCCTTAATATTAGTCTCAGTGTGAAAAGGCAAGCAGGAAGTCCTTCCTTCTAGCCACAGGTGGTCTTTCTGGGCACTTCTCTGGTTTGCAGGCTTGTCATCCTCTCCCAAACTTTTCTCTGATTTCACTCTCTACTCTCTTCTTGGCAATCTCGTCCCTTCCCCAAGCTACACTGAGGACTCACAAGTATTTCTGCACCTCAGACCTCTCCACTGAGCTGCAGATGCACGGATCCAGCGGCCCACTTGGCCCAGATGCTTCAGACACAATCAGAATCCTTACAGCTGCACACACCAGAAAATACAGCTTGGACTAGCTTACATGGCAGAGGGATTGCTCCACTGGTAGGACAGGCCCCAGGGGTGGACACCTAGCCCTGGGCACTGCTTTACTTGCTGTCCCTGGAACTGCTTTTCCAGGCCGGTACCAAGATGGCTCCTGCCATTCCAGGCACACCCAGATCTGGCAACATCTCGTAAAACAAAAAGACCTTTTCGTCTCAATGGTCACTGTCAGAGAGCAAGAGGACCTTTCCCAGCAGTTCTCTAGAAGCAATAGGCATGTTTCAGTGACCAGAAGTGAGTCACAAGGCCTCTGCCCACAATCAATCAAGGGCATGCAGAATGAGTCTGCCATGATTGACTCGGGCCAATCAAGATTTACCCTGGGTCTCTGGACTTTAAGCAGAGGAGTGGCACGATCAGATTTGTATTTGGAAATGGCCACTTCGTGTGGAGGACAGGTTGTAGGGCTACGAGAGTAGGAGAGCTTTTGGAAAACCACTGCAATAGTTCAGCAAGAGATGACTGCACAAATTTGACAGTGGAGGTGGAGAAGTGAATGACTTCTGGAGACAGTGAAGAGGTGGAGTGGACAGGACTTGGCCATGGGTTAGATGTAAGGTGTCATGGATGACACCTAGATTTTTGGCTTCAGTTACTGGATGAATGATGCCATTCACTGAGATGACAAACAGTAAACCATACTGGTTATGGGAGGGTGGGAGTTGTTTTGAATAGGTGATGTTTGGGGTGTTTCTGTAAGTGCTGTTGCTTGTGTCCTGGTCACCCGTTTACCTCTCCTTCATTGCTGATAGAGCCTTGAGTAGTAGTTGTTGTTGTTGAGGGGTCCAACCCTTCAATGGTTCCCTGTCACTCTTAGATCAAAGATCAAACTCTTTACCGTGGCTGTGGGCCCAGCACAGCAGGGCAAACACCTGTCTAGCCCCACCTGTCCCAGGCTCAGGCGACTCGTACTCTTAATTCCTTGGAGGCATGACACTCTCCCATCCTGCCCCACCACTACAGGGGTCTTTGCACTGGATGTTTCCTTTGCCTGAAACATTCTCCCCACCTCAGCTCAAACACCACTTCCCAGAGCCATTTAGTTTAGTTGGGAGAGAGCCATGTCTTTCTCCCACACATCACTGTACACTCCATGAGGCAGGAACTGTGTCCATTTTGCTCACGGTGGCTCCCCATCATCCGGCCCAACGCCTGGATGTAATAGGTATATCATGAATATTTGACAAAGGAAAGACAAAAGTAATTTAAAATACTTTTAAAACATCTATCGACATGCATGCCCCTAGCTCTGCACCAAGAAAGTAGCTCATTATGAAAATGAGGGTGATCAATTCAAAGGGAAGCGAGGAGGCGGCCTTGACTAAAATATAAAGTACCAAGAAAGCAAGCCAACTGATCCTAAGCCTTGCCTATAAAACATTTTCAGTCGCTTCATGTTACATTCATTATTCTAAAGTTTCAGAGCATGTGTGATATTTGTGTTTAAAGGTTAATTCTTCTTGCTTTGGGACGTAACAGATACATGATCTCTGAGTACTCAGGATGCTGGCTCATGTTCCAGTCACCAAAAGAGTCACTGAATCCATTTGTCTTTCGGTTTCTGGAACATCAGTTGTACAGAGCAGATCACGGATTTACTGCTATAGGGGGCCCTTCACAGAAGGAAGCGGCAAAGTAACGGTTAGGTGGAATGTGCATGTATTTCAGATACGTGCACACACAGGCCAGTATGTTCACCTCAGTCCACTTGTCCCTAAACCCTTTTGTGAAAGGAAGAGTCCCAGGTCATGTGTGGTCCTATTCTCGATACGTGAGGTGATCATACAGCTATTCATCTATTTTAATGTCAGAAAAAATAACATATCAAAACCATGACCTTATGGACAGTAATGTTTAGGATGAGACCACTGTAGGCGTGTAAGCTGTCCTAAGTGAATGGATTTAAGGGAGGATCTTAAGTAATAATCCTGCAGTTGATAGTAGTCCTCAGACATGGCAGCAATCGCGAGCTTTTGACAGTGATTGAAGATGAGAAACACTGTTGGGAGGATGTGTGGCTTCTGTCTCCATCCTCACTGACCGTCACGTTCTTACTCAGCATCACAATGTGCTCCCCCTTTTTGGCTGCACCACGTTTCCCCCCATTCTAGTTCCTGTGACCCCCTGACCCTGAGTAAATTGGCAAGTGGATGAATGGATACTTGGATGATGGATGAATTTTACAGAATGCGGCATTTCAGTTCTAAGAGTAGCGGGTGGATGAACCGTGAATATTTATGCCACAAGGAAAAGCAAACAGTGTACAACGCTGCAGCTCGTAGAGAGAACCGATTTCCTTTTATAATCAAACCGCTCTGAACGTGGCAGGACGCTGCAGGCCACCGCCCACTGCCTTGGCATGCCAACACCCGCACCGCCAGCCACAGGAGCAGCCGTCTCTTTGATTGGTGTTATCTTTGCCAAACCACCCCACTCTGAGGTTTCAGGGCTTTTAAGAGATGATAAAGGCTTAAGGTTAGTTTTAGCTAGAGTGGCAGATTCAGAGAAAGAAAACCAAAGAGAGAGCCAGAGAGAGGGAGGGAAAACGCAGCCTTCACCCACTGATAAATCAGTCGGGGTTCGCTGTGGTCGGGGCACTGTCCACGCGGAGACGCCTTCTGTTCTTACAACAGGCAAATAGTGGTTCGTGAAAGACAAGGTGTCTCAGCGATTTTGAAAGTCTGCCACCCAAAGCAGATGACATGCTGACTCATTCATTCCAACTTTTCATTATGAAATTCAGTCATTTGGGAAAGTAAAGTACAATGGCCATCTTATACTCACCACCTGGAGTCAACAATGTGTAATGGCTTTCCCATATTTCCTTTTCCTGTTTTCCCCTCCCGAGTCATTTAAAAATAAGCTGCAGTCATCATCACCTTCTCTCCTAAATACTTCGGCGTGCATCTCCTAAGGGCAAGGACATTCCCCTGGGACCACAGTGCCATGACCACACTGGAGAAAACTCTAATTCCTACCCACTGCGGGCCCACAGGTACTCAAACTGTCCTAGTGGTCACATATCATAAAAAGCTTTTATGGTTATTACTTTCCTAAGCCAGGATCCAATCAAGATTCACTGACTGCGTTTGGTTGTCTCTAACCCATTTATTCTAGAACAGCCCCCGCCCCATGGACTATCTGAACAGACCAGGATATTTCACGTTCTGGATTTAGCTCCATTCTCTATCCCTGCCTTTCTTGTAACCTGTAAGGCCTGTAAAGTGAAGGTGTGAGCGGATTCGGCATTTCTGGCAGGGGAGCTTCCCGGGAAGGAGCTTGTTATGACTCCTTGCACTGCTGCTCCTGGTGACTGTGCGTGAGCAGTTAAAGCCAGAAACATGCCCTGTGCCGGCACAAGTCACCTGACTATTTGCTGCTGTAAACATCAGTAATCTGAGTTTTCAGTGGGGTAACTGGCTATTCCTACTTCCCACTCTGAAGGCTGACTTACTGTCAATGACTCTGACCAGGCCGCTTGCTGGGCACTTAAGGGCGAGTCAAGTCGAATCCAGTTGAAAGAGGAGCGCGGTTCAGGG